AACCAACCAAGCAGAAGGAAAACTCAAACCAACCAAAATTCAAACCAGCCTGGAGTGGGGTGGGCTTTGTCAGGCTATCTTACCAAATATGCACCCCTGTTACTTTTACTGCAGTAGTGATGCCCCTATGACTCTAATCAGTAAGGGGTCGGTTTTCTATGTAAATTAATTGTAAATTGATCCCCCTTTTACTCAAACCAAGACCAAAATACACTCATACCTGGAGAAAAATCTAGAGTTCTTTTTTTTTCGTGTATTAATTATCTATTGATTTTTTTATAGCTTTATTATTTCTTTTAAGAAATCACGTGATGTGCAGATATATGATTTGGCTTCCGTAGGGGGGTGAGGTGGAATCTGTTTAAAATGAATTTGCATAGGACATTAGACGCATATTGAATTCTATCATTTTTTTTTTTTTATATTCCTGATTTGGAGGGCTTAATTCATAATAATGGGAAAAAAGATCAAAATTGTCAAGAATAAATGATTACTTATAGTCGCAGAAAGTTGATATTTGGATGTTATCGGATTGAATTCTAATGTGTGATATCGTTGGAAATTGCCTGAATATCATACCCATTTCTTCTTCATTTATGTGTCATATCCCTTCAAGACGTAGGCGATCATGGCTCTCTGCCTCCACCAATCCATTGTAGCTCTCAATAAGTTTTGTCCCTTTACTACTTCCCCAGGCCACGTTCTGTCATCCACTTGCTTAAACCCGCCAGGTATGTCATGCGTTGTTTTCCCTGGTCTCTCTTTTTCTTTATTCGCCTTGTGGGTATTAGATTCTCCAAACCCTAGGTTGGTCTAATTTCATTGATTCGATTTCTACAGCTTATTAGCTTTTAGACTGCGAGAATTTATCTATTTAGCTAATAATGGTTTAGCGATACAAGTTTTATAGAGTCCACTATATATAGTGTTGCAAATTCACTATATTTATTAGGTGAACGTAAAGAGGATAGAACGTTGGTAGCTATAGACAGTGAGAACAGGAATCAACAACGCATGGTAACTGTCTATATATATATATATATATATATATATATATATATATATTTTATGTTTATATATTCTTTTTATAGATACAGATATTTAAGTAAACGCTCTCTTTATAATAAACAGGCCTGAATGTCCGAGAAATTTTCATAGAAAATATGTCCTCCGACATGAATTGAACCTGTATCCTATACGGAATCGTCATTTAGCCTGACGTGTTCTTAACCAATCGAGCCACAGAGAATCGTTCGGTTAACGAGGTCGAATTTACTGTCTTTAAACTTCAATTCCATGATTCTCTCACGTACATTCATATCTGCTCATATCGTATCCATATGTAAACAAATGACGTCAGACATTATGAAATAGAATACAGGTTCGATTCCTGTCGGAGGACGCATAATTTCTATGAAGATTTCTCGGACATTCAGGCTGGTAAATGTTGTTTAATACTGTTTATTATAAACAGAGAATTTACTTAAAAATTTTTATCTGTAAAATATATATATCTTCATAAGATATATATATATATATATATATATATATATATATATATATATATATATATAAATTTGCATTTTATGTCCTAAATTTCTTTACATGTCTAACTTCAATGTCTTTACATAGGCTCTATTCTGAATATTCATCACTTTAACCCATAAATGTAGGAAACCTTTTAAACTCTTTTCTCTCTCTCTCTCTCTCTCTCTCTCTATATATATATATATATATATATATATATATATATATATATATATATATTAATAATAATAAAAATAATAATATATATGATAAAATTATAGTTATACTATATTGAGAGTTAAATTGCTCAATATCAGGATAGAGCGTATAAATATAGTAGGTGATGTCAACACCCAGCAGCCACGATATGTTTCTTGCTATATATATATATATATATATATATATATATATATATATATATATATATATATATATTTTTTTGTTGATTGCAACCTTTTATAGACAACCGCAAATTTCATATTTTATTCTTCATTATGTATATATTTAAACAAAACTGAAAACTAATTATTTTCAATTTATCCACTTGGCAAATGAATCTAATTAGATGGAAAGTGTTTAGCAAGCACTTTTACCACAATTTCCATTGAAACACCAATAGTAACCACGAAACCATTCTATTTTTTATGGCTGTCGTTGTAATTAAAGGAATTGTATTCAATTAGATTTTAATATTCATTTTCCTTGTAATCACAGATCAGTATAAATGCTAACCAAATTAATGCAATCTAAACAAATACCTCGGCCACAAAAAAGCTTCAAATATCAATCTTAGGAACTGGAAGAATTTGCAGTAATTATTGAATCATTTTAGAGTTTAAATGTTGCAAATATCGTTTTTTCTAGTTTTATAATATTTGAAAGTTATCTCGTTTCAGATTTTCAACGGGAAGCGGAAACCGTCGCTTCTCGAAAATGCGCCACCGATTGTAGATGGGATTTTGAAATCGGAAGCCCTGAAAACCATCAACTGTTTTTCGATTCACTGAGACACGCACTTAGTCATTTGTAAGATACCCTTTCCTGATAGATTCTCTTCCTCGAACGCTGAGGCGCCTTTACGTCTGTTGAAGTTATCGTTTTATATGTCTATCTCAAGGACCAGCTTAGTGGTTGAAATAGCTGTATATGTGTTGTAGGTGTCAGGGGGTCGAGATTCGAGCCCAGGTCAAAACCAGGATATTTAATCACTGATTTCAGGATAGACAAACCCTCTCCAGTAGGCATTTTGGAAAAGAACTAATACGCTTTCCACTTTATATTGATTAGCAAATATTGAAAGGAATTTTGATTGTACTAAATTAGTCAGCCTATTTTAAAACGTGTTACAATTTTTTGAACTGATTAAATAAAAGTCTTTAAAACTTAAGTTCTTCAATTTAAAGAATCAATTAAAATACGGTTGAATCCCTGACAACTGGACTAAGAAGGCCTTTCGGAATATGAGGAATTGGTTACAAAGTCCGGATATGAGGGGTTATATTTAGATTAAAATAAAAGAACTGAAATCAGGTTTAACATTTATTTTCAATGTTTTATAGTAAACAAAATAAGCTAATGGTGAGTGAATTATAACGGAATTGATTTTTAGGAAAAAGAAATAAATTATGTTAATGAAAATTCATTAAATTAAGTCTGCCACGTATGCAAAACAAATGTAACGAGGATTTTTCAATCGCTTTTGCATGATGATTCTTTCTCTTCTAATGTCATTCTCAATTTTTTCCGCATTTCGTTTTGCTTTTGTTCTTGAAATTTTTTAAACGAAAGACACTTTTAACTCTGTGTGCGTTATTGCAAACGTCATAGCTGAATGCTGGCTTTCTTTCCATAAAACTGACAACCTTTTCAATAGCTTTTTTAGTTTTAGTCCAGGTTTAATTACACTCATGTTTTTTTTTTATTTCTTTGTTCATTGTGACAGTATGAATGCTGGAAAATAATTTCTTTGGAAGATTTTATATCATACAATGTTGACTTTCCTACGTTAAACTCAGCCATTAGTTACAATGAACTTTCACCAGAGTGTAGTCTGTTTAAAATTTCCACTTTTTGTGATAACTCCAAAGTTGTTCTTTTCCTCTTATTCCCATCATCTTTTGCATCAATACAAACCATTAGGGTGAAATAAGCATAAGCCATTATCCAAAGTAAATTTCCTGAAAAACAGAAATTTCAAATCAGCTAAATATCACCCAAATAGTTCAAATTTACACATCAAAATCATATCCGGATATGCGGGATCCCCGATATGAGGCACTCCGGATATGAGGAATTCTATTTTATTTAAAAGGCATCAAGTTTCAGAATTTCAAGTCTGAATCATTTGGCCTTGAGAGTCAGTAAATAATGACCAATGAATGTGTTTGAGAATGGCTGCAGGGACAGAGTTGTAAATGTGTTTAAACTGTGAAGTCAGCGGTGCTGCTGTGTGAGAGGCGTTCGTTATTTTGATGTGTACCTTGCCGTTTCTGTCGGAGTTGCACGCGACCTTGCACTTTTCACAACAGTTTACGCACACGAGAAAACACGGATTCCTTAATAAGGACTGAAGATGTACAAAGTTGAAAAAAAAAAAAGAAAAATTAAATGCAGTTATAATAACTGACGTGAAATTACACGCCGTACCGTCAATAGTATATGTAAGATTTTATTTTTCTTGTTAGCTAACAAATTTACGGAGCATGCGCGTCGGCCTCACTCCTCACGAGCACGGCGAGACCTCGTTAGGGAATCAATAGTTTTGTACCGGAACTATTTTTAACAAGACCGCGCTCTGTCGCAGTCCTGCCTATAGGGAATGCAAAAGAATTCAATTTAGACAACATTGGAGAGGAATTATATTGGTTCAATTCTTTTTATTTTCTTACTTTCTTTCGCTCTCCACACACACACACACACACACACACATATATATATATATGAGTGTTGGCAGGGGAAGAGATCTACCTTTAGATTGCTATCATTACTTCTTACTTTATTAAATCCAATTTTCTCTTTCGTCATTCTTTGTTTATATTTATTTGCATTTTATTCTTTTTCATTATTTTTTTTTTGCTTTCTTTCTCCTCTTTCTTTCTAACGTTCTTTTTTTTCTTTTTCTTTCTCCTGTCTTTCTTTTTTTCTTTTTTATCTTTCTCCTCTTTCTTTCTCGCTTTCCTTTTTTCTATTTCCCTATTTTATTTCTTACATTTTTTTTTATCTTTCTTTCCCTTGTTTCTTACTTGCTTGTCTTTTTCTTTCATTCTTCTCTTTCATTATATTTCTTCGTTCTTGTACGCTTTTCTTTTTTTCTTTCTTTTTTTCCACTTTTTTCTCAATTCTTTTTTTTTTGTTTTTTTTCTTCATTTTTATTCTCATTTTCTTCTTTGTTTCCTTAGTTATTTTTCTTTCAACTCTTTCTTTTATTTTCTCTTTCTTTCCTATGTCGCTTTTCTTATTTTTTTTTGCTTCACATGTTTTTTCTTTCTTTTTATTTCCTTTTTCTCCATTATTCTTATTCGTTTTTATTCTTTTTCTTTCTTTCTTTCTTTCTTCTCTATTATTTCTTTCTTTCTTCCCTATTTATTTATTCTTTCTTTCTTTCTTTCTTCCTTCTCTATTTATTCTTCCTTCCTTCCTTCCTTCCTTCCTTCCTTCCTTCCTTCTCTACTAGTTCTTTCTTTCTGCTTTATTTATTTATTGTTTCTTTCTTTCTTTTTCTTTCTTCCTTCTCTATTTATTCATTCTTTCTTTTTTCTTATCTATTTATTCTTTCTTTCTTTCTTCCTTCTTCACTATTTATTCTTTCTTTCTTCCTTCTCTATTTATTCATTCTTTCTTTTTTCTTATCTATTTATTCTTTCTTTCTTTCTTCCTTCCTTCACTATTTATTCTTTCTTTCTTCCTTCTCTATTTTTTCATTCTTTCTTTTTTCTTATCTATTTATTCTTTCTTTCTTTCTTGCTTTCTTTCTTTCTTGCTTTCTTTCTTTCTTGCTTTCTTTCTTTCTATCTTTCTTTCTTTCTTTCTTTCTTCCTTCCTTCTCTATTTATTCTTTCTTTCTTCCTTCTCTATTTATTCTTTCTTTCTTCCTTCTCTATTTATTCCTCTCATTTTAGTTCTTTCATTCTTTTTTGCCTGCTTTTCTTTCTTCTTTGTTTTACCTTTTTTCTGACAGCCTTCTTTTTCCTTCTTTTGTATTTTTTTTTATTTACATTTTTCTTCTTTTTATTTAATTTTTCTTCCGCATTTTATTCCTTACCTCTCTTTCTTTTTGTTCTCATTTTTCGATTCCTTCTTTTCGTTCAATCTTTCTTTCTTCTCTTTCCCATTTTCTCTTTCTATCTTGCTTCTCTTTCACCTTTTCTTCATCTTTTCTTCATCTTTTCTTCATCTTTCTTTTCTATTCCTTCCCTTTATTTATATCCTCTCATTTTATTTTCCTCTTTATATTTCTTTTTCGCCTTTATTCATTATCTGCATTTATTCAATGAAAAATATATTATCTTTCTCTTTTCAAATTTACCCCTTAATTGGTTCACATATAATTTTGAAATTTTCCTCTTTTCCTTTACCTTCTGCTCAGTGTTTTTATTTTTCTTCGTCCTTATAAGTGCGTGATTTCACTCATTAGCATTTTTTCTACCTGTTTAAATCTTTTTTCAGCATCAATTTGTTTTATGGAGTTGCACGCTTGCTGTTGGCCGATGGTTACCAGCTAGTGTAGCACACTATCATATCTGTGTGAGAATTTATGGGAGCTCTATATTCGTAATCTTGTACCAATCTAGTTTAAATTTCATAAATATCTTTAGGCTTTCCCTTCGAAAACTATCTTTTTTTTTTCTCTATTTTTGTTTGTCGAAAATAATATCCTCAATATCCTTCTGTGGAATAAAATTTCTCATCCGTCAAGTCTCTTCTTCATCTTTGAGGAGAGTGTTCGCTATTCACTGCTATATAGGTGTACCGATATTATATAACAGTCCAGTACTAATTTCGTTGTTTCTATTGAAAGTTGAAAACTGTCTTCACCTAATCTTGTTCACGCCATTTACCCCTGTTCTTTTTTTCTGTCCGAAATTAAGCTTACGAATAAAATAACCTTCTCAAAATTTTATTTTTTTTTGTCCTCAATAAGAGTAGTTAGATTCACCTATCGCCCGGTTCCCACTTCTCCCCGGTCTTTTGAACAGGGTTAGAGGTTTATCCCTTGTTTCCTGTATAGGATTGGGTTTCCAGTTTTTTTATAAATTCTACTCTAATTCTATACTTCTAACGCCTCCGCATTTTCTAATGTATTTTCCTTCTCTTTTGCACATTGCGTCTTAGTAACGTTATCGCCTTCCTTGGTGGGGTGGAAGTGATAAAACATGAGATAAAACATCAGATAATAGTTAACAAATTGTTTTCCTCTTTTATATACCGTGTCCCTTCAGAACGGGGGCAATAACCGCTCTCCTAAATATCCCGTCTTTTATAGCACTTAAGTTTGTCCTTTTGCTGTCTCTCCTAATCCCTGTTCTGCCAACCAATTCCACAAGCTCGTAAGATAGGGTATGCACTGCTTTCCTTTTTCTATCTTGCCTTTGTACGTGTCATATTTTCCAAGCTCTCTTTCCTCATTATATGCCCTTGAAATTTCAACTAGCTCTTATTGATGCTATAATTTTCTCGTTACTCAGGTGTTCAGTTCATAGTATTCTCATCATCCTTCTGTAGAATCAAATTTCTCATTCGTCAAGTCTCATCTTCATTTCTGAGAAGAGTGTTCAGTATTCGCTGTCATATGGGTGTACCGATAATATATAACAGTCCAGTCCTCTTTTCGTTGTTACCAATTAAATTTTCCTGTTTCTTAATACTTTGCTTACCTTTTGGAAAACACCTTTCGCTATCTTAATACACCTTTAGATGGTTGTGACGCATTTTCCATCCTCTTCTGTTGGCGATTTTTCTACTAGTTTATTAATCCTGAGTAGCGAGTTCGATTCCCACGTGCAGTTGTAACTTTCCAGCGAACTAAGTCTAATCAATACTATATTTTTTTCTGTTTGTTTATCTAAAGCATTTTACTTACTTTTTCTGTTACCTCATTTTTTAAATTGTTTATTTTTATTTATATTTTTAATTACATTTTTATTTATATTTTTTCTTAACATTTTTCATTTATTTAAATTATTTATTTTTTTTACATTTTTATTTAAATTTTTATTTAGATTTTTTTTATTTTATTTACATTTTTATTTTATTTACATCTTTTTCCTTACATTTTTATTTACAATTTTTATTTTTATTAATATTTTCTATTTACATCTATTTATATTTTTTACATTTTAAAAAATTACTTAGATTTTTATTTAAATTTTTTTTTATTTACATTTTTTATTAACATGTATTTACATTTTTTCATTTTATTTACATATTTTATTTTCATTTTTTATTTACATTTTTTATTTACGTTTATTTACATTTTTACCTTATGTATCGACATTTTTTAGTTTTTATTTAATCTTTTATTTACATGTATTTACATGTATTTACATTTTTTAGTTACATTTTTTATTTTTTTAATAAAAGTCGATCGAACATTTCTCGTTTTTTTTTTATCGTCCATTATTTATTTTTCTGTAATTTTACGTCCCACTTTTTCTTTCCGATTCCTTTTCGCTCTCGTTGATTTTCTGGCAGCTAATTTTCTTTCTACAGAATTCTTCTTTTTGGCAATTCACTTCTTTCTTTTCTGCACTCTTCATTCATTGGTTCTTTTCCACCATTTTCTTTGTCAATGTTGACGCCATTACCACTGTTTCACTTTTAATATGAAGAAAGGCGTTTCCCGTTTGTTCTTAACCCACTAATGGCTGACGACACCTACAATTTTTATCACATCAACTGTCCTTGTGTGAAGAATTCATAGACAAAAATACTATGCGCTATAGTCATTTAAGCAATGTTGTTTGTCATTCAGAAAACATGGCCTTACTATGAGGTACTCCGTTGTCATGGTATATCGTCGCCACAACAGGCGAATAGACCTCATATTACCATAACAATGGAAGATATCATTAAGAACTACTGGAATCAGTTTGTTAAGACATTTCTTTGTATTTCTTAAACCGTTTGATCGATTTCTTTGATTTGGAATGAGAATTAAGAGAGAGCGCAGTTTAATTTCTAGTCAGGTTTGTTACATTCACTTACGAGCAAATACACTTGAGGAACGTATGGATTCATCACCTCTTCCCCCAGCTATGGGTTAAATAGTAGGACTTGTATCTGTAAAATCATTGCCATTTTCAAAAACTGTTAATTCAATATTTACTCGAAAAGAAGAACAAATTCTTAAAATCAAAAACATGTTTCAGCTTTAAATAACGCACAACGGGTTGATAAGCCGTAAAAAATACAAATCAATCAATCTGTAGCTTTCTTTTGATATTTCTACTTCGAATGATTTTAAAAAGAGTATTCTTACTTTATGTTTGCCATAACTGAACAGGAAGTCGTAATCAAGGGAGATAAATCTGAGTTGATTATTGAGTGCTTTACGTCAAATGAAGTGTAAAATAACATGCAATAAATGGAGATGATAGTTATATGATAAACCACACAAAATGTATCATATATAAACGAAACGTCTACTCAAATGCTAGTATCCACTAATAAGAACATTTAAAGTGATACAAATCTCTCGGGTTAACAAAAAAAATCAATTCTAATAAATTCTCTTTGTTTACGTTTGGATACGAAATGCGTACAGATATGAAAAGAGAAAGCATAAATTTGGCTTCATTTGCCCGACTTCCTTTTCGTAGTCAAAGTAGTATAGGTGCACCGGCCTAAGCAACATCGCTCTCTGCGTTGAGGGATACAGGTTCAATTCCTGCCGAATTTTATTTAATCATATTTCTCGAAATTTCAGATGAAAACAAATAAATATACACTTTAATATATAAACAGATTATCCACTCATAATAACTTTTAAAGTGGTAAAAAATTGTTGGATAAATAAAATCCAATCTTATATATATATATATATATATATATATATATATATATATATATATATATATATATATATATATATATTAAGCTCTCTGGGGAGGAAGTGTGGGTTTCTAAACAGTGACTATTACGGCTAATAATGCAAGACTCTTCGGTAAATCGAGTCACTGTGTGTTTATCTAAAAATAAATACGCTTAAATTCACCTGTCGTGCATAGTGGTAGAATCCCCACTGACGCCATTTCAGTAGGGTTTCGATATTAGCTAGAGGCAACCGGGCGTCTAGCCACTGATGAGCTGTGATACAGCGAAACAGTCTGTCCGTGGAAGACAATATATATATATATATATATATATATATATATATATATATATATATAGCTGGTAACTCGTATTCCGAGATACCCGTCAATTAGGGCGGTTAGCCAATCCCTATTGCAGTCTCTCGCTCAGGCACATTTGTTTTTGTCCAACAGCCACAAGACCACCTGTTATTTATACTGCAGCTATGCTGAGCAGACCGTAGTTACAATTTTTTGGAGAGAACATGATATTGTGATCAACAATTTGAACAAGGCCAACAAACGCAAACCCTCGGTCAAGATGACTTGTGACTTCATGCTAGCACAGCTAACGACAGACCACAATATATATATATATATATATATATATATATATATATATATATATACATACTAGGTTAGAGGGGTGAGGGGGCTCTTTATTGGCCCTTCGGCTTGTTCAGGAGTTTGAGAGTCTCTAAATCTTTGCATATTCTCTGCCGTTTGATATGAGATTTTATTTCCATGGAATTTTCGTTTCCTCGCTGCAGCCTTGGCCCTTTTAATTGTGATCTGTTCCTCTGTTGGCGGCGATTTCATTTTGCGAGGCATACTGCTGCCGTATGCGATAGGCAATAAAGCACAGAAGAACTCAAAATTGATCGGCACATTTAAGTATTGCATTAAGATTTAAGCTTACCTTTAAAAAGTTTAACGATAATTCTTCTGTCGTCACTTAATTTAAAGATAATTTGATGTGCGTAGGTCCTTACTTTTCATACAAACAATTATTTTTATTCCATGGGTGACTTTCGCTGGATTTCGCAATT